CCTACCAATATGACCAAGTTGCGAAAACAAGGTCAAACAACTTCTATACAACGAAAGGAGGCTGCGACCATGCAAAAGGCCACACCATTTTGGTCTTCATACCCTCGAGAAAGCAAAGTGTTTGTTATTAGACGCAATGCTTTACTGAAGCAGTACTTATTTGGCCAAATGGTCTAAAACTGATCTGATTCGATACTTTAGAATCTCATTGATATGAAAACTTTCATTTCGTATGGAAGCACATGATGAAGATATTCGTCGGTCAACCTAACCCGAAGATGTCGGCTGATTCGCGTTGTACTGCAGCCATTTGGCGTTAATACGACGTTCAGGTTGATGCTGTCCACGAGACAACTTCCAATAATTCAGGTGAAGATGGGCTGGGCTTTGGTTCGTCATGCGACTCATTCTTCCAAAAGCCCCAAGTTAACGCTTAGTCAAGAAGACTAACCAGCTTTTTTCCATATGATATATATGCACATTGCTGGCGTTAAGTTTTTTTCTATTTACTCTGAGTTATGACCGGTTTGGGTACAGACATTAACATATATACGAACGGACACACTCGAGTATACGTGAATTAACCAGACCTTTCTATAACCAGCTATATCTTAAATTTTGCTCTCAATGAGTATGTATATAATATATAAAAAATCCGGCTAGTTCTCTTGACTTAGAGTTGACTTGAGGCTTTTGCACTAATGAGTCCCAGCTTTGACGATGTTCATCAGATGACGAACGAAAGCTCAACCCGTCTTCGCTCAAAACGTTGGAGAATGTCTCGTGGACCTGAACGTCGTATTAAGGCCAAACGGCTACAGCACAACGCGAATCAGCCCACGTCTTCTGGTAAGATTGATCTACAAATCTTTTCATCATGTACTTTCATACGGAATGAAAGTCTTCACATCAATCTTATCTCAGGAAATGGTTCGAAACCCGCATTTTATTCATCTATAATCGTAGGTAATTGATTACTTGAAATTTGCTAACATGATAACTAAAGAATCCTCAGTTCAAAATAGATATAAATAAATGTACAACATTGAATTCAAGAGATGATTAAATGTAGTTGTGAAGGACAGTTAGTCATATGAAGAACGGAAGCTCAGCCCGTTTTCAAACAAAACGAGGGAGAATGTCTCATGGACTGCGTCAACCTGAACTTCGCATTAAAGTCAAACGGTTGTAATGCAACGAAAATCGGCCGTTGTCCCCTGGTGAAATCGACCTACGAATCTCTTTATCGCACACTTTCATACGAAATGGGAGTCTCCACAACAATGTTAGGCAAGTATTCTTAAATAATCAAGGAGATCCCTCATAAAGTAACCTATTTTTAAAATATCACGACTTATTGAAAAAGGAGTGGATGCTACCTGATATATATATGTGTGCGTGTGTGTGTGAAACTGCAAAATATTGCAAAGGCGCGTTGGCCGAGAGTAAATTTTAATATGAAAAATGGATTATCACCATGCTAGATAAGCCTGGTGCCTGCTGCTGGTCACGAATAAGAGCTTCGGAGAAATCTGGGTGCCGAGTGTTGACATAGGCCAGCTCGATAGCAACCAGGTTACTGACCATTTGATTTGTGGGCTGAAGCCGCTGGCGCAATAGGCTGGTAACCACATCAACAATGCGTTCGTAAAGTTTGGGGAATCGAAGCATCTCTTGCTAGAATAAAGGCAGAATAAAACGGGCGTAGTGAAGTAGAACACAATATATGGAAGTTTACAGTTCATG